TAGTTTAAAATGAAATAACTTTCGCTTTTATTTCTATTTCATTGAGTGAAATGACATTCATTTTTAGATATGATTTTTTGCCTGTAATTCAGAAAAACAGTTCATTTGAACAAATATTTTATTATATTATATGTGCGAAAATATTTCCCAAGAATTTGATAAATTTATCACTTTTTAGTTATAAGAATTTGTTTCAAAATTATTATTTTATATTAAATAAATTAGCTAATATCTACGTTAATAAACAAAATATTCACACATTTTATTTACCAAACAATACACAATTTTAAGTTTATAGTCAATAAATTAACCAGTACAATTAGCATTTTGTGGTAAATCACATTGTTTGGTTGCATCATTCCACTCGCTACCAATGGGACAGTTCATTATGAATGCCTGTCCCCCGTCATCACAGCTAACAAATAGACTGCAATTACCGGGGAATGAAAAGAGACAATCTGTGGGTCCCGTGCATTGGCTTACAGATGAGGGACAGGTATAGTTCATATCCTGGGGATACATATTAGCCATTGTGGTGACACTATTGGATGTGACAGTCGGTGAAGTAGTTGATGAGGAGTTTCCAGAGGCCGTAGTTGTCTCGACAGATGTGGACAAACCTGTTGTCGTAATACTCGAAGAATTAATTGATTCTTGAGTTGTGGTCTCCATTGATGTCGAGTTCTCTGTCATTGTGTTTGTCTCAGTCATAGACGTAACGGTTGTCGCCTCAGTTGTGGACACAACAAGTGGTGCAGCGCTTGAGCTATTGGAAGATTCTTCAGTACTGGACGGTTGTGTTGATGAGGAGGTTGTGGTCATTGTATTTGTGGTGCTCTCGGAGACTGTTGGCGCTGTCGATGAAGCGTTTGCGGAACCAGTTGTGGTCGAGAGTTCAGTCGTTGTGATCAAAGTGGTGGCCGTTATTGAGGACGCAATCGTCGACACTGTAGTCGTGGAAATTGGTGCCGAAGTACTTGTTGTCGAGTTTGTGGCTTTAATTGCAATGAATATTTTTTAATTAATTTTAATTAATCAAAATTTAATCAAAATTGTACCATTTGTTTGAGCCCATGAAATGTGAAATAATATAGAAATAAGAGTTAATGTAATAATATTCTTGACCAACATTATAGCAAACTATTATTCAAATGTTTGTAAGGTTTGTGAGTTATTTCGAGTACTATATAAACGGTGTGTGACAATGAATTAGGTAATAAAATTTGGTTATATAAGCCAAGTTTTGTGTGAGTTGACAAAATTTGATTTAGTTTATGATCAATAAATATTTTCAATACTATGATGATACTTATATTTAGTATTTGTTGCTATTTAATAGGAAATTAATTTATTAACTAAAATTCTTCCATTAAACTGTATAATATTGAATGCATTGTATAATATTATTTACTCAATTATTTTACTTTCTGTGAGTTTTTGCATTTGTTTGCAATTACTGATTTTATATTAATATCAAATTATTCCTAGACAAGACAATTATTCCTAATAAATGTAATAAATTATTCGCTAAATCATTACATAGGTATGAATAGTCAATATATCTGAATGTCAACTAATTTAGAGCTAATTTATTAATTTTACAAAAGCACTAAACAAATATGATATGTATTCTGCAAATACAATAAAAGTTTTTCACTTTTCATTAGTGAAAATTGAATAGTCAATATATCTGAATGTCAACTAATTTAGAGCTAATTTATTAATTTTACAAAAGCACTAAACAAATATGATATGTATTCTGCAAATACAATAAAAGTTTTTCACTTTTCATTAGTGAAAATGATTTCTCATATCTTATAACATCTTAGCCCTGATGATGGTCACAATGTTGACCGAAAACGTTCGGCAATTATCTTAATTTTATTTTAAGTCATTTTCACTGATACTACCAATAAATATTGAAAACTTAAACTCTAAACAATAAAAGTTGATATTTTAAAACACTTATTTAATCTGATAAAATAAGTTAATTAATAAATTAATTTAATTGATAACAAAAACAAAACATATCCATAAACTAATTAGTAGTGATTTTATGTTTGATTCAATAAATGATTTTTAAAAAGAATTAATATTTGTAAAGTAATGTCTTTTAATTGCAATGAGCATTAAATGGCCAGTCACATATGCGTTTTATATCATTCCATTGGGTGCCAATAGGACAGTCCATTATAAATGCCTGTCCACCGGCACTGCAGTGGAAGAATTTGGTGCAATCGCCGGGAAATTTGTAGAGACAATCGGTGGGTCCCCGACACCCGTTCACCGGTGAGGGACATGAAAAGCCCACGTCCTGGGGGTACAGATTCCTAGCTGTTGTCACAATAATATTACTCGTATTGGATGTGACACCCGATGATGGACTGGTCGTTGTGGAAGATCTCTGAGGGAAAGGTGTTTGAGTTGTGCG